TACTGCAAACTGTCAAAACATTTTAATCAGAAATCGAAACTAACACCTCTACATTATATCTTTTAAGAAATTTTAATAACTACAAACAAATTTCATCTTTAATAACCAAAAAAACTCTAATAATATAAATTTAAAAAAAATTCTTTGACATTTATTATAAATCTCTGGCTACTAGGCAACCTTAACACAGAACAGACAAGTTCAAAGGCTAAACATAAATCCAAAAGGGGCAAAAACATAAAACACAAGTTGTTACGTATTTGAATTCTGCTTTAATCAACATTTATTTGACAGTTTTGTTGACAAATAATTGTGACAATTCATGCATTTCCTGTCAAATTGCATTTATGTTAAAATATATATACTGTTATATAAATAGTATATAAAACATTAGTATATAATTTAAAAGTTTTTAGTATGAGTAACTTTACTATATATAAACAAATATTCCCCCTTTTTTCTGTTATGGTTATACACTCATCAGCTATTGTCTGATTTGTTAGAGAAATCTACTCTTATTTGAGATTTTGTTGAAAATACACTCGAAGAGGGTGTGTTTTTTTTGGTATTCCTGCAGCTTAATTTTATGCTGTCAAAGATGTTGTAATTCTCTGTTATATATGTACTTAGCTAGCATGTCAGGTCATGTCATACCTTGTTGCTGTAACATGTCTATCTGTTTGTATGTTAATTTTTACAGCAGGTGTCTGTGTGAAAATTTGGTTGGAATGTTTTGATGGTTTGTTTAATAACTCCTTGGGCTATACTAACAGCTTTTGTGCATTAATTATCCCAAAAAGCTTTATAGTTAATTATTTAAATGGAACTGTGTAGTATAGGATTTATAGGTAGGATTTGTGTGTATGTTAACATTAAATAATTTGTTAAAGGTTAATTAGGAAAATTATGATTTGATGTAAAGAATTTGGGACGTTATGGAAGTGACCGTCGGTCAAACTTAATAGACTTGTTGTCATCTATATTCAAGAGTTTTTAGGGATATAATAACCTGTTATGTTTGAGATTTGTCCTGACTTATGAGCTCAGTCTCATATCCATCCTTTCGAATGGTATCGGTTCCACGCAAGAGCAATAAGTGAAATTTCCTTCCAACCTTATATTTACTAGTAAAGAGTACAAAGTCTATTACAATTAGTCTGGATTTGTTATAATGAATATGAGTTGATTTAACAATGACCATCGGATCTTTGTAATAGAATCCAAGGTCTGAATTCTTAGGTAAATTCAGCCATCTTTTCGATCCAGATGAAATCAACTTTGTTAAATATATGTATATTGCCCGAGATTTCCCCAACTTTTAAGTTCAATCTCATGTTCCTCCCAGATATTAAAAGGCATCGGATAGTATCAGTTGCATTTTAGAGTGGGATCCTATTGGAAGGACTTTTGTTACTCCTTTCAAGCTAGTTACTTAGTTTGTTAGTTAGTAATTAGTTAGTTACTTTAGTTAGTTAGTTAGTTAGTTAGTTAGTTAGTTAGTTAGTTAGTTAGTTAGTTAGTTAGTTAGTTAGTTAGTTAGTTAGTTAGTTTTAGTTAGTTAGTTCGTTAGTTAGTTAGTTAGTTAGTTTAGTTCGTTAGTTATTAGTTTAGTTAGTTAGTTCGTTAGTTAGTTAGTAGTTCGTTAGTTAGTTAGTTAGTTAGTTCGTTCGTTCGTTCGTTAGTTCGTTCGTTTCGTTCGTTCGTTCGTTGTTAGTTCGTTCTTCGTTCGTTCGTTAGTTCGTTCGTTTGTTCGTTAGTTCGTTGTTCGTTCGTTCGTTCGTTGGTTTTTTCGTTCGTTCGTTCGTTCTTTCGTTCGTTCTTTTCGTTCGTTCGTTCGTTAGTTCGTTCGTTGTTCGTTCTTTCGTTTCGTTCGTTCGTGTTCGTTCGTTCGTTCGTTCGTTCGTTCGTTAGTTCGTTCGTTCGTTCGTTCGTTCGTTCGTTGTTCGTTTCGTTCGTTCGTTCGTTCGTTCGTTCGTTCGTTCGTTCGTTCGTTCGTGTTCGTTCGTTTCGTTCGTTCGTTCGTTCGTTCGTTCGTTCGTTCGTTCGTTCGTTCGTTCGTTCGTTCGTTCGTTTCGTTCGTTCTTTCGTTCGTTCGTTCGTTCGTTCGTTCGTTCGTTCGTTCGTTCGTTCGTTCTTTCGTTCGTTCGTTCGTTCGTTGTTCGTTCTTTCGTTCGTTCGTTCGTTCGTTCGTTCGTTCGTTCGTTCGTTCGTTCGTTCGTTCGTTCGTTCGTTTCGTTGTTCGTTGTTCGTTCGTTCGTTCGTTTCCGCGTCTTTAGTGGGAATCGAACACACGACCTTTGGTACGGCAGACCCTTCCGCAAGTTAAGTCTCTCATAAATAACGAATTCTTTGCCACATTCCACTTGATAGAAAGGAACTACAAAATTCGCTAGATAGTTACTTTGAACATCAAATTTTCCTTCCTTCAACTTGCCACTTTTTCCTTTAAATTTCCTTAACAATGTCCCTTTTCGTCTTCCACATTAAACATTTCCCATTTTCCTTCCTTTACTATACCATAGAGCTTTTAAACATTTGTTATTTTAAATTTAAAAATAATTTTCTTGATATTCTTATATTATCATAGGATAATAAATGTTAAAGGAGATCAAGTGCTTCATCATCATATAACTCTCATCATAATACAACAATTCTTTAACAAAATAATTTCCATATGGCCAAGAAAGGAAGAAAAAATAGCACACAGAGTTTTTTCTCGTTCTACAGCCAACAGTTTTATACTAGGAATCACTACTACTTGACTCGATTCCTTTGACTGTTATTTTAATAAATTTAGTCGATTTGCTAAATAAACACAAAAACCACCAACCTCACCCCCAATACTCCTACTTTATACAATTTATTATTATTATTTTTTTTTTTTTTTTTTTTTTTTTGAAAAATTTGTTCTGTTTATTATAAAACATTGTGGGAATTTTTGCACTCAGTGTTTATGTTGGTAAAGTTTTGTTGCCTTTTTTTCTTTCTACCAATTTAAAAGTGCAATTTTCAATTGATATTTATGCAATATTGTTCATTTGTATATTTATTGTATAAACAAATTTCTCTAAATGTTTAGTAAATATATACAAATTTGTTTTTTTTTTTTGTGGTAATTATTCTATATATTTCAACATTTATACAAATCGCAATTGTATTTATGTGCTGAACTCAAATAAACATTGAAAAAGAGAGAAAAACTTGTTGAAACAATAACAATAATAATAATATTGGAAAAATAATAATTGAAAATATTTATGAAAACATTTATTTACAAAAAAAAGAGATTCAAGAAAAAAACAATTACCTAAAGTTTATTATTTATTTGTAAATATGAAATTCTGAATGAGTTTTAGCCTGCTAATGGCAGAAGAGGGAGAGTAAATTTTGGAAATATTTGTTAAATTATAATTGTTATTTTCACACCCTGATTTAGGTGGTATTGTTAGCTTTACACTATTTTTTTTATAAATTTAAAAAATTTTAGAAATCTTAATTACTTCTTGTCTAATAATATGCCATTTCTTAGAAATCGGATCTATAGATTAGGTGCAACACATTCACAAACTTTGATTTTAAACAATGTTGCCAAACTTAGCTTATAAAGAAAACAAATAATTAAACATAGTGGCAACTTTACAAGCAATTTTTAGCTCCACCCCACTAGAAAAAACAAACGGGCAAATGAAATCATTAAAGTCCATAAATGAACCCTTAACTAAACAAACATAAAAATGAGAAAAAGTTAAAACTCACATAAAAAGGGTGGAGTAAATTAATACTCCTTTAAAGAAAAATAAAAAAAACCCACAATATGCCAAGGAGATGGTAACCAAGAAACTTTTTTCCAACAATATAAAAAATACAAACAACAACATTTTAATAAATTTAATTACAATTAGCTATAATTAAAAGCCTAATTAGCTATAAAAACTGTTGCTACTTTGCAACACCCTCTAAAAAAGACAAAAGAAAAAGTTGCGAAGAAAAAAAATAAAGAAATAAAAATTCTTCTTACAATTTGTTTAACAAGAATTGTTAAGTAAATACAGGATAAAAGAAAGAAGAAGAAAAAAAAAACAAATGGCGTTATTAGGTTTAACCTTTGGTAAGCAGGCAAATCTGAAAAAGACTACAAGCTATAACATATACAACGGGGCTTGCTTGTCTTATAAGAAGGAAATCGTGGTTGTCTAGGCAACCATTTAGAGATTGAAAAAATGTAAATTTAAAAAAAAAAGATAAAATATAAACGCGAAACCTTATATATGTTCTACAAAAGAAAAAATACATTAACTTCCCCACCATTAGGAAACTTATGAAACATAACCTTAAAAATGGAAAAAAAATACTAGCATGAAACGCGGATATGACATGTTATATAAAGAAATCGAAAAAAAAGTAGGAAAAAAAATAGTAGTAAGAGTATGAAAGTAAACATAAATATGTTATAACAAGTAGTTTTATGGAAATTTTTTAATTTGAAAAACGGATGAAAGTGTTTTTGAAGCCATATTTATAAGGTTTTTGTTATAACAAGCTCAAATGCTAGCAATACGAAAAATAAATCATAATAATGCTTTCATAATGTTTAAGAAAATTACGCAAAACTCTATTACAACAACAGCAGTTCTTTAACAAAAAGCAGCCCTCAATATGAAATAAATTTAAATATTTAAGAGATTTTTTTCCAAAAAAAAAAAAAAAAAAATACACTTAAAACCACATAACCTAGTTATAAACTAATTAACAAGCAATTTGCATTGTTACTTTCACACTCTAGTAGGGGACAGTGTTGCCTATTATGTCTATTTCAAAGCGTGAAAGTTACAAGCCATAATATAAACAACATAACAAAACTTAAGCTATTTCTTTTGGCAAATCTCTTCAAACATTTTTTTCTTAATATTTCTTTCTAATTTTTATAAACAATTTTTTCTTTTTATTTCTTTAAACCTTAACTAATAAATTTTTTCTTTTTATTTCTGTTTTACTTTTAGGTTTGGTTTAAAAATCGTCGTGCCAAGTGGCGTAAACAGAAACGTGAGGAACAGGAACGTTTACGTAAACTGCAAGAGGAACAATGCGGCGGTAGTGCAAATCCCAATAGTAATGTTAACAATAATACGGGTATAGTCAATCTTAAATGTACACCCGAGGATTTTGTTACACAACTGCAAATTAAATCGGATCCCAACTATAGTGAGGGAGATGAATCTGATTGGAAGTAGCATAAGATCATTTTTCTTTAAAACACAATAAGATATTAGTTAAATATATTGTAAATAGTCCTATCAAATGAAATTGTAAATTTATTTAAAATTAAAACTGTCAGCTGTCATTTAAAGTCATCTTCAAAAAAAAAAAAAAACACTTCCTCTGCCTAATCATAAGTTTTTTTTTGTACTAATAAGTATTTGTAAATATTTTTGTTGTTTTTTATATATATATAAATACTAATATTTTAATTTAAATTGTAATTTTTGTTATATATTTAACTAATTTATCTTAATTTTAAATTTATATTTAATATTAGTATAAATCCCAATAAACATTTAACTTACAATTGTAATAAATATTTTTTTCTTTGAATTTCATTATTTTCCTTTTAAAATGGATAAAATCCTTTATAGCCCTTTTTTACTCATAAAAAAGTTTAAAATATTTACTTTTCTATAATTGCAAGTTAAATGTTTGTTAAATCAAAAAAAAGTCAGTGTGAGTTTTTAATGTAAGTTTAAATTAAATAATGAAAAGAAATAACAAAAAAATAACAAATAAAAATTAAATAATTATAACAAATTAAAAAGAAAATAGTGTTTAAAAAGTTATTGATCTAAACGTATGGTGGCCTCCGGTAGGTTAGTGGTTAGTGTTCTAGTCTGGTAGACCGGAGGTGGTGTGTTCGATTCCCACCTGAGGCACTGGTTAAGGAGCGCACAACAGGCCCGAGGACTAGGTGTATTTCTTAGGATTTGATGTATATACATCCTCCTTTCAAACTAACTAATGGTTTGAAATGGTCGAATGGGATTGAAGTTGGTTTGGGACTGAAATGGTTTATCGACAAAACGCTGCAATAAAACGGTCGTATAATTTTGCCTCTTCAGTCATTTTTGTGTGAAGGAAGTTTTATGAATAAAAGAGCCTAGATGTTTTGAATTGACAAAGATATGGTGATAACCATCCAACCCAAAGATTATCAGATACATTATCTTGTGCTGTAATTTAGCAGGAAAAGGCTTAATGTAGCGAAGTTAGTATTCGAAATACCCTTGCTTCCGGCCGAAGGCCTTATATCTTGACACTCGTTTATGGAAATACAGTAATGTAAAATCAAGATCATTTCTATCCGGTAAAAAGTTCATCTTTCTGAAATTCTAATAAAATATTCCAATACATTTCAGTATTAAAAGTGTCAGGGTTCATACAACACTTTTAAAAGTATGACTCTTTTTTAGGTTAAGGTTAGGTTGAAAGGAGAATCCTATGTTTTACACATATCCATATCAGATCCGTGGAACTTTTTACTGTGAATCGCAAAATTTGCATCGAAAAACCTTAATCCATAATTAAATCTAATTTCGGCGAAAGCCTGTCAATGACAGATAAAGTGTTCTTAAGCTTCACTATCCTCTTCGCAAGATCAAGATTTGTTTGTATGCGCTCGCGTAATACGCACGTAAACCTTTATGTCCATGAACGATCAAACTAAACTCAGTTTCTTGGGCGTAGTTCCTTACAATCTTTCTTAGGGCTGTAGCATAACATCACTCCTATTGTATTCAGATCTACCTTTGATGAACTCCTGATATGCCAGAGAAAGGTATTCTGAAGAATGTAAAGTATATTTTTTCAGAGTCCGCTGGTATAATTGTGCCCGTAAACCTTTTATGTCTAGTTAGAATAAATCAATGGACGGCTTCTCGTCCTCTAGAAGAACGAAGTAATTGTATGATCCAGGTATGCGGTCGAAAGCCAGCTTGCGCATCCTTAAGTAATTTGTCTAGAGATGAACAGGTTATAGTGTTTTTTTTTATAAAAATGGTCACTATCTATCACAGTCTTTGGTCAGTCCTCACTTGGGGCTTTGTTCCTTTTCAACCATCAAATGACGGCTACGTCAAGGATCTCTATTCGTACAGCTGAATATTTATGGGAATCCCCTTCTTACTTGACGCTCCCTTGCCATCAAATGACTGCTATGGTAGGCAGAGAAACAAGCGGACGCAAAATGATCGGCGGCGCTACCATTTTTGGTCGACGACGTGTGCTTATTATAAAAAATACCGGCGGCTAAATTGTAGTCTCAATTCAACTTTTTCTTCAGAATATCTGTATAATAGTATATCATTGGTACGGTAGTGTGATTTCCAAAAGTACCTTATTATTTTCTTTTACGTTGATAAGAAGGTTGCTGTCTCTATCCTTCACTTTAAGATAGCAGGGATGTACTCTATTACCTCTGGTCTTTGCGTTAGATTTTGACAACGTTATATCTAAAGTTTGCTAGAAAAGAAGAGGACACCAACATCTCAAAGATCTCGAATTCGCAGATTATGTTTGTCATATATCCCACAGTCAAAGCGATGTGCAGAGCAAGGTGAAAGATTTAGTCATCCATTCTAAAGGCGTTGGCCTGGAAGTTGACATTCAAAAGACGAAGGACATGGGTATGAAGAGAAATTGTATTAATTGGGCTGCATAATGTCAACATAAGGCGGCGTAAAGACATATGTAAGCTTTAAATATAGCAAAGCTAGAGCGGATTTCGGTTGGTTGAACAAGATATGGAGAGCACACAGATATACATACCAAGTTGGGAATATACAAATATTCATGTGTGAAACAACCTTACTTTATGAAATCGAGACATGGCTTACATCAGTAGCAATAATATGAAATATCCAAACGGCGATTAAAAGTCACTCTTAATAGACATTCCTAAAGAAATTCAATGTATGAATTGACCACATTGGGCCGTTTACATGACATATTCCTAGGGGAAGGACTACTCACAACAGCAATCTTCCGACGACTTGGAATTTCAGTTATTGAAGAATTTTACATTTACCTTAGTTATTCTTTTTCTATTGAACTCTAAGTTTCTAGTATAACAGTTGCTCTACTGTTATAATAGACACCATTAAAAAAGTTAATAACTTTAAAGATTTTATGAAAAATATTAAACTTTCATAAATACTTAACTGTAATCGAACATACCTACTACATTGAATACAATACAAATGACAATTACTTAGGCAACTACTACTGCAATTGTACTATGTAATCGATCCTATTGTTAGTTGTTAACGAGCACAAAATATTGATGATGTTGTTGTTTGTGGTCAGACCTTAAATTCTACAATCTACATATAGTTGTTTGACCTTTTTCTATGAAATTGTTTTGTATTACGAGGATTTTATATTCTATTTGCATGTTTTGGGATGAAAGATGGGAATGCTAACACAACAAGGATGAGTTTAAAAAAGTACTTTTTGTATAAAAATTTTAGTGCCATAACTTTTCAATTCTGTAGAATCCTAAGAGGAGTTTTATACAATTTATTTTACGATCTGTACACTATTTATGTACAATATTATACAATAATTTCCCATTTTGCATAAAGTACCAAAAGAAAAAAACTGTGGCAACTGCATTACTTAACACTCCTAGTACAAAAAGTTTCTGATTGTCATTTTTACACTTTATACTCCTTCTTGTCTCTGCATATTTTTTTGTATGGAATTTTTATTTGATATTGTAATATTTGACATGTGTAGCCATACCTACGATTGTAAGAGTGTATGTAAATGTTTGTAAATGTCCAATTATTTCTTTTATACAATTTCCTTTGTAAAAAAAATTACATGTATTTTTCTATAGGATTCGATTATTATGACAAGTTTTTTTATAGTTTCTATAGTTGTTAGAGCATGAGTCACAGAAATATACAAATTAGTTCCTTAGATTGTTGAAAGTTTACAAATTTGGGAAAAAACAGGCTTTATTCTTCACTGATATGCATTTTATATAAAAACTTTCCTCGAATATAAAATAAAATATAACTGGATTTTTTATTAGATACGACGTTTATTTATAAAACAATATGTAGAGGGATATGACGTAGAACCGTTCTAGAACTGAACTAGAACTGAACTAGAACTGAACTAGAACTGAACGAGAACTGAACTAGAACTGAACTAGTACTGAACTAGAACTAGAACTGAACTAGAACTGAACTAGAACTGAACTAGAACTGAACTAGAACTAGAACTAGAACTGAACTAGAACTGAACTAGAACTGAACAAGAACTGAACTAGAACTGAACTAGAACTGAACTAGAACTGAACTAGAATTGAAGTAGAAGTGAACTAGAATGGAAGTAGAAGTGAACTAGAACTGAACTAGAACTGAACTAGGACTGAACTAGAAGTGAACTAGAATGGAAGTAGAAGTGAACTAGAACTGAACTAGAACTGAACTAGGACTGAACTAGAACTGAACTAGAACTGAACTAGAACTGAACTAGAACTGAACTAGAACTGAACTAGAACTGAACTAGAACTGAACTAGAACTGAACTAGAACTGAACTAGAATTGAACTAGAACTGAACTAGAACTGAACTAGAATTGAACTAGAACTGAACTAGAACTGAACTAGAACTGAACTAGAACTGAACTAGAACTGAACTAGAACTGAACTAGAACTGAACTAGAACTGAACTAGAACTGAACTAGAACTGAACTAGAACTGAACTAGAACTGAACTAGAACTGAACTAGAACTTAACTAGAACTGAACTAGAACTGAACTAGAACTGAACTAGATCTGAACTAGAACTGAACTAGAACTGAACTAGAACTGAACTAGAACTGAACTAGAACTGAACTAGAATTGAACTAGAACTATACTAGAATTGAACAAGAAGTGAACTAGAACTGAAGTAGAACTGAACTAGGACTGAACTAGAACTGAACTAGAACAGAACTGGAAACTGAGTTCGTTAGTTAGTTAGTTAGTAGTTAGTTAGTTAGTAGTTAGTAGTTAGTTAGTATTAGTTAGGTTAGGTAGTTAGTTAGTTAGTTAGTTAGTTAGTTAGTTAGTTAGTTAGTTAGTTAGTAGTTTGTTAGTTAGTTAGTAGTTAGTTGTAGTTAGTTAGTTAGTATTAGTTAGTTAGTTAGTTAGTTAGTTAGTTAGGTTAGTTAGTTAGTTAGTTAGTTAGTAGTTAGTTAG